TATTAAACATGCATTACAAATCTATGCCCCAAAGTGGATTTACAAACACCCCATCAAGATCACTGAAAAAGGTAACAAACTTCATATGCCTTCGATATAGCAAAGATATTTTTTATTTAGCCAGTTCAGATGAGCTATGACACACCTCCAGAACAGCTGAGACTAGAATGCCAGTAACAATATTACCACTGTGCCAATAAGCCGTTATAAAGTAATTGCATGCTTGATGATTCTGCTAATAACATCAAGGTGGGTAGGAGAATAACTTTCAAAGGTTGTGAGGAATGCACAAATCGATGTGGTTAGAACGGATAAGTGAACATAAATTTGACAGATGGAGCATAATACAAGTAAAAATGGGAACGTGTTGGTAGGACGTATAGGAAAGCAATTTAATGGAGGGTGTTTTCAGACTTTGGAGGGATGTCAGTGTACTGGTACATAAATCAACCGAATTTATTCTGAATGTTCAGCAAGTCATTGGATAGGCAAATGGATTATTGATCTTCGTTGCAAGTAGCGTGTTGTCCAAAAGTAGAGACGCTTTTTTTTGCAGTTTTACAGGGTATGAGTAAAACAAATCTAAAGGACTCTGTCCAGATTTCTTCTCATTATTTATGAAATTATATAATTGAATTGGAAGCAATTCAATGAAGGCTCACTTGACTGATTACTCGGGTGACCTGTTTCTCTGGTCATAACCAGTTGGGCTGCGTCCACTGAGTAAAGACGATATCATTTCATTTCTTCAGTATATTTGAATGTGGACTTGGGCAAGTAGCTCATTGGTCTTCTCATTAACGATCAATATGTTCTCCATGACATCGACTTTTACAGTGCGTGTCTTTATCTATGTATAAAGAGGCAGTTTCTAATCAGGGCTTAGTCTGTTTTAATTAATACAGTTATAAGGCAATGTGTCTGAATTATGCATCTACGTTTAGAATTTTGTTATTTAAAATAATGAGCAATTCTTGTTGAGCAAATAGAAATCCTAGCCCATGTGTTTCTTTTTAAATTGTAGGCCAAGAAGACAGTTATATTGGGCAATTCATACCAGATGGTTTAAATAACAGAGAGGAAAAACAAACTCAACTTAATGTAGCCTACATACTGTTAACAAAATCAGTGAAATGAAACTAATGACAACAAATATACAATAACATATACCTGTCCAAAACACCAAATGCACACTGGCTGAGCCACGATGCAGGAACATCAACAAAAAAAACAAACAAAAAATGAACAAGCTGCTTCAGGGTAATCGAATGTTAAAGTAATTACGGAGTTCAGAAATCCAAATCATAACGTCCAGCCTTTCTGAACATTTTGTTTCTTTTTGTGATGACTTTATGCTGTAGTCTGTCGGGTGACCACTATTTTTTTAATTTGATGGCTGATTAGGTGAAGTTACATTTGTTGTAATATGCATATTCATTGCTGTAACCTGTAAATATATATATATATATATTCTTTTTAACTGTTAATTACACACTGGAAAACATATTGCATCAAACCATGGAAACAATTTAAGAACGAAATTGCAGTTTGGTTGGCCAGACAACATTTATTGCCCATTCCTAATTTCCCGCAGGGCAGTTAAGAGTCAACCACATTACTGTGGGTCTGGAGTCACGTGTAGTCCAGACCAGGCGAGGATGGCAGTTTCCTTCCCTAAAGAGCATTAGTGAACCAGATGGGTTTTCCGACATTGGACATTGGATTTGTGGTCATCATCAGATTCTTAATTCCAGATATTTTTAAATTTAATTCAAATTCCACCATCTGCCGTGGTGGGATTCAAACCCACGTCCCCAGAACGTTACCTGGGTCTCTGGCTTAACAATCCCTCTGCTTAAACCTCCCCTTAAATTTTTATCAATACTTGGGATTTTGATATTTTTAAGTGGCCTACATAGGAGCTGAATTTTCCACTGGCTATGGAATCCCTACAGTATTGAAACAGGCCCTTTGGCCCAACAAAGTCCACACTGACCATTGGCGCATCCCACCCAGACCCATCCCCCTAATCTACACATCCCTGAACACTATGGGCAATTTAGCATGACCAATCCACCTGACCTGCACATCTTTGGTCTGTGGGAGGAAACCGGAGCACCCAAAGAAAACCCATGCAGACACGGGGAGAATGTGCAAACTCCACACAGACAGTCGCCTGAAGATGGAATCGAACGCAGGTCCCTGACGCTGTGAGGCACCATTGCTAACCATTGAGCCACCATGCCACCCAGAAAATTATAGCAGAGGATGGTTTTATGGGCAGCACGTTAGCTCAATGTTGATTCCTCATTTGGAGGTCTGTGACGTTATTTCCAATCTCTCAACAAAATATCATCTTTAATCCATTAACCACCTGCGATTTTTCCATCATCAACATCGGTGTGATCTTCCTGTATTAGCTGGCAGAATCAAATATTTTGCTCTGGATCTGGAGTCGAATGTGGGCCAGACAAGGCAACGAAGGCCGTTGTCCTTCTCAAAAGGGGCTTCAATGAACCAGGTGGATTCTCATGTCAATATGCATTAATTTCACTGTCATTACATTGCAACCTGTCATGATGGGATTAGATCTCATGACCTCAGACAATTAGCCTCGAATCCTGGATCGCTAGGTCTGTGACATTATCACTAGATCACTACTATTTCCATATTTAATTAAATTATAATTCAATTCAGGATTTATTTCAGAATAAAAAAATGAAGAAACAGATACAAAAGATTAAATTTAAATTCATGATTTCTGGCTGTGTGTCTATTCTTCTGGTTTTCTACATTTACATTTCAGACTAATGTGTATCAAGCTACGTCAGCACAAAATAACATTGATGAATATTTGCTTGAGATATCGCTTAATATCGTCCCTTACTGTTTACTGAATGAAAAATTAAAACAGCAGTGTGAATGAACTTCCGTATCTTGCTTTGTTCGATGACTCAGCGTTTCATTTCCCATCAGAGTGTCTGTTCTGCTGTAAATGCAAGGTGAGCATAAAGAGTCTAAGGGAGAAAATATATAATATCAATAATCAATGAAAAATAGGAATTATCAGTTAATTTCACCCCTAGCCTGGATCCGAAGACACATTAATGAATGGGGCCCGTGTTGAAGTCGTAATATCAGGGCCTCTGGGCCTGAAAATCTGTTTTCAAGCCCCATGTACCTCACATATGTGTCTGAACTCGTTGTTTTAAATAACCAATAAGAAATTCACTAATTCCTCTGAACGAAATCGTTGAGTGACCGTGCTATGGAGCACAGAAATAAGGCCTTTCTGCCTATCGGTCTTATGCAAGTAAAAAACAAGCACTTCCAATTATTGTAGCCCCATTTACCAAACTTTACCTCCAGGACTTGTATACTTTAGTACAACAAGTGCACATCTAAACACTTCTTAAAATTTGCGAGGATTTCTATCTCCTCCACACTTACAGGCAACAGACTTTAGATTATCACCATACTCTAGGTGGAAAAGGTAAAGTCCTCAACCCTCCTCAAAATCATCTGCCTCTTATCTGAAATCTATGCCACTAGTCATTTCTTCCTCCACAAAGGGAAAAAAAAGTATATTCCTGTCCACACTGTTTATGTCCCTCGTAACATTAGATATTTTATTCATGCCCCTCCTAAAAACAATCTGTTTAAAGGAAAATAACCCATCCTACCAAATCTGTCTTCATAATTGATGTGAAAATATTACTTCTGAACATGAACTATGAGTAAAATGCTTCAAATTCAAATTCCATCATCCTCGAACAACATATTTGAACGGGTTCATATAAAATATCCATATACGCAATGCTGTCGAATTGAAAACTAAACTTTCATCATTTAATGTAATGAGCAATTCCAAATGCCTGTCACTTTCTCTTTGTAACAGATCAAAGATTATAAACATCCTAATCACAATTAACCCTTCTATTTTCCATCGTTACATACAGGTACAATATTTAGATTGGTGCCGATGTCCTCAAAATTACTGATATTGAGAATCCATAAAAATGTTTTCATATCTAGTCAGTTCGACCAAAAAGTTACACAATGCTGCTTTGGGGCATTCATCGTGGTTTTCTTTTAGGGAGCTTATTATCAACCACAATCTGCCTTAAATAAAAACCAAAGGAACTGTGGATACTGCAAATCAGAAACATGAACACAAGTTGCTGTAATAGCTCAGCAGATCTGGCAGAAACTGTGAAGAGAAATCAGTATTAGCATTTCGGGTTCGGTGACCCTTCCTCACAAATGATGGTAGCTGGGAAAACTTCGGTTTATATGCTGCAGGTAGGGCGTGGGAATGGGTAAGGAGTCAATGATAGGTGGGAATAGAGCCCAAAGAGAGACAAGAGCAGGTGGACAGACAAAGGCATAATAACGATCTGGCTACGAGGGTGAATAGCTGTTAATGGCTAACAATAGGTTCTGTTTAATGGCAGAGCATGTGGTAACAAGGCCCGGTATTTGGACAAGGGAGTCAGGACATAGGAGAGTTCAGGCCCTAAAATTATTGAACTCGATCCTGTTTCTGGAGGGCTGCACGGCCCCCAAAGGAAAATGAGGTGTTATTCTTCCAGCTTGCACCAAGTTTCTCTGCAACACTGTAGCTGACCTGAGACAGGGATGTTAGCAGGGAACAGGGTGGCGTGTTAAAGTGGCAGGCAACTGGAAGCTCAGGGTCATTTTTGCAGGCAGAATGTAAATGTTTGGTGAAGCAGTCACCCTGCCTCCGCTGCGTTTCCCCAATGTAGAAGAGAGCACATTGTGAGCAGTAAATGTAGTAGACTAGATTGTGTGAAGTGCAGGTGAAGTTTCTTCGCTACCAGCAGTTCTGATGAAGGGTCACTGGACCCGAGATGTTAGCTTTTATTTCTCTTCACTGACGCTGCCAAGACCTGCTCAACTTTACCAGAAACTTTTGTTTTTGTTTCTGACTTAAATTCTTACCCGAAATCTAATGATAATGACAATTTCCCTGCACTCACCTCCTTTTCTTTGTCACGATGCCTCGAATCTGAGAAATTATATTTCTTGGCTCTATCAGCTAATACAAAGGGAAACATAAACATTTGCAATTTCCACAATGAAATTTTGTTGATTATCGTATAAATGACCACAGCAAAATAAAATCCAACAGCAATGTGATTAATTTTGAGTAAAAACACAGGGACATCACGTCTTACCTGCGTTTTGGTTCCTGCAGCCCCATCTAACAACTACAGTGGAAACCACAAGGAGGAAAATCATCAGAATCGAACTTCCATAAAGCAAGAAAGGGCAGATCTGACGTCCTGGTTCTGAAAAAGTAATGTTACCATTAAAATTTTCATCACCCGAGCTATCACAGTATGGCAGAAAGTTTAGGGAGAGGCATGAACATTATTTCGAAACAATGACGGATTAGAACTTAATGTCTCACTAGAGGATTCCTCCACAAGGTTCTTAAGACAAACTATCAAATGCTTTCTGCAAGCAATTGCAGTTGCCACAAGACTTTAATTATCCAATTGAATAGTTTAGCAAAACATGATACGTGTTTTAAACTGTCAAGAAATGTCATTAATTTTCCATCATTGATGCTGACCAATGATCAAAACTCTCTTTTCAAACTTGGATTAAAACCATTGAGTTCCAAAGCGTGAATGTCGAAAGTTTGTATGACTATTCAAGAGTTAATTACTTCTCTATTTGAGAAGTTCATACAGGTCGACACACTTTTCCAAGGCAGATTTAAGGTAATCAGACACAGGCCATAATTTAAGTCAATGGAAGAAACAGTGATTTCAACGTCTGAGTTCACAAATTAATAAATACATTTATGTCGTTTTACGTAGGTTGGACTAGCAATCAATGACTTCCAGTTGGAGGACTTTAGAATTGCGTAGAGTAGAAGCTACTGAGCACACCAGGAGCACACGGCTTAACTTAGAAGTTGGCTACGGGAAGAGAAGTTCAGATTAAAATGTTAAATGGATGAAAAAAAGTAAAGAACAGATTTCAGTTAACGAAAAACATACTTTACGAGAATACTGCCTCCAGCGAATAATGTCAGCAGGAAACTGCGTCAAAAACAATGGTGTCAAACATTGCATGAAGGTCTGGAATACAGACAATGTTTAGAGACAGGGAATTGACAGACTCAGTTAGAAATGTTAGCAAACATTATGCAAGGCCAAATTGTCCTTGATTAAATGAATCACAAGACGTTAATGAAATTCACAGGTGAAATAGAATTGAATAACTTTCTCTGATGCTTTTATGATACATGGTTGAATTTTTGACAATGCGGTGTTGTAAGTGGCAAATAGGCTTATAAAAATATTGGATTTTCCTGCCATTAATCAGCATCTGTCATGTTAGGTATCAAATGCATTTCCTCTGTTTATGCTGCTGGAAGTATCTATATCATTTAGTGCCACAAGCAGTATGCTTGGCTCGAGCTATTGAAATGCCACTGCAAAACTGGCGAGTATAGCTTATTTACTACCCATAGATAGCGCATGAGGCTGACAAAAGGAGTAGATCAGCATCAAAGTATTAGACAGAGCAATGAGCATATGAAGTGTTGAGAAGAGAAGAGTAGATAAAGAATACTCTGTGTCTGTAGAATTCACACAGAAGATGTATGGCAGAGGAGATTTACCAGGATGCTGGCTGGACTGGAGGGCACATCTGATGAGGAAAGGTCGAGGGAGCTAGAGCTTTTGTCATTGGAGTGAAGAAGGATGAGAATTGACTTAATAGAGGTGTACAAGATGATGAGAGGCATAGATAGAGTGGATAGCTGGAGATTTTTTTTTTCCCCAGGGCGGAAACAAGTATTACGAGGGGGCACAATTTTAATCTGATAGGAGGAAAGTGTAGGGGAGATGTTGGAGGTGGGTTCTTTACACAGAGATTGGTGGGTGCGTGGACTACGCTGTTGGCGGTGGGAGTGGAATTAGATACAAGTGGAATTAGGAACATTTAAATAACTCTTGGATAGGCACATGGATGATAGGAAAATGTAGGGTTTGCAGGGGAGTTCGAACTTAGAGTAGGATAATAGGTCGCACAACATCGTGGGAAAAGGACCCGTATTGTGCTGTACGATTCTATGTTCTATGTTCTATCTATGTTCTTTTGAGCTAAATCAGTGCTGCTTCTATTCACACAGGGAATGTAGCGAAGACACACACTAGTATAACTATGCTGAGTACGATGAAATGAAATAATTAAAATGCAGTTAGGAAATGGATAGAGGAGGAACAGAAGGACATATCTTGATAGGTTTTGGTGTGCTTCATTACAAATTTAATGGCAGAACAACTATCAAAATAACTTAGAGAATGTTAAATGAGACCACATAGTGTCTTGAAAAATAATAAGCATAAAAGAGGCGATAATAATTATCACTACATTATATTTGCAATTGTGCAGATAAAACAATGCTAAAAAAGAAGATACAATTGTTAGTGGATGTTAATTATTACGGTGAAAACAAATGTTTATTCAGGGATGTTAGAAGAAATAACTTCTGAATTTGTGAGAGATCAAGTCTATATCCACCTAACGACTTGCAACTGCATTGGAACGTGAATGGTTGGTAGTTTAACAAAAATGTCAGGAACATCAGTATCAGGAGCTGAATTCCGTGGGTATCTTCAAAATCATTAACGTAGATAAGTCCCCAAGGTCAGGTAATATCTATCCCAGGGTACTGAAGAAGGCAAGAGAGGAGTTTGCTGACACCTTGACAGAGATCTTTGTAGCCCTTTTATCCATAGGCAAGGTTCGAGAAGAACGTTGAATAGCCAGGGTTAATCCTTTGTTGAAGAAGGGACACAAGACTAATCCAGGAAAACATTGTCTGACAAGCCTTATAACATAGGATGGAGAATTATTAGGGAAGATTGTTAGAGAGAGGAATTGATGTCAATTGGAGAAAAAAAAGAATTTGTTTGGGAAAGGCAGGACGGCATTAGGCAGTCGTGCTGACAACACAGTATGGAGCTGGAGCAACACAGCAGGACAGGCAGCATCATAGGAGCAAGAAAGTTGACGTTTCGGGCCTAGAAGGGACCCTTCTTCAGAAATGGGGAGGGTGGAGGGAGCTTGGAAATAAATAGAGAGGAGGGGTGGGGCTGGGGAACTTAGGTGTGATGGTGATAGGTGAGTGCAGGGAGGGAGTGTTGGAGATTGGTATGTGGGATAGGTGGGGCGGATTGGTGGAGTGTCCATCTTCTCCCCCACCCAGGGAGATCAGAACACGGGAAAGGGGTATTTGGAAGGGTATGAGTGCTCAGCACACGAGTCAAGATTTGGGAGTGTGAGCGACCCATACCTGAATCTCCCTCTCTGATTCTCTATTCACTTCCCGATTCTGTGTTCCTCTACGATTCGCTCCATGTTTAACTTCTCTCCCACCACCTGCTGATTCTCTCCCCATCTATTTCTTTCTCCCTCTCTGATTCTCTCTTGTGTTTCCAATTCGCTCCCCTCATATCCTGATTCTCTGCCGCTAAACTCCATTTTAAAAGTGCCAACACTTCAATGCACAATCGGGTTTCTGCTCATGGAGGTTTCTCCCTATGGCATCTCACGAAAATCCTTCATGACGACATAATGTCTGGAACCCTGCGTCTTTGTGTTTTTGGATCAGCACACATCCGTAGTTGTGGGTGTCAACAAACACAGACTTAAATCTTAAAGACTTATGATCACTGTCATAAAAATGTACGGCAGCAGACATTTGCTACTTGCCTGGTTTCTTTCTCTCAAAGATAGTAGGAACTGCAGATGCTGGAGAATCTGAGATAACAAGGTGTAGAGCTGGATGAACACAGCAGGCCAAGCAGCATCAGAGGAGCAGGAAAGCTGACGTTTCGGGCCTAGACCCTTCTTCA